TACTATCCATGTACGCACTTGGAATTAGGTTAGGAAGTACAAAAGCGTTGCAACGCGCGGGAAAATAATAATCACAGACCACACTAGTCTGTGATAATAATGTCCACAGCACGAGAAAATTGTCACGAGCACCCTTTTTCCAATCCAATCAGCCAATCACCACTGGTCGTTGTTAGTTCTCTTTTTTTAATTATTGCTATCTTACTTGCCCCCCAAACGTATAACTTCCAAGCTTACCAACACTGGGTAGGTACAATAACCACCAACGTACCACGTACGCTTTTTGCCTGCATTATTTTGCTATAAAAAATAAAAAAACCTACAAGTAGGTTCTGACATACGGCATCCGGTTCATCAGGTTATAACTGAATTTTAAAAAACCGGTTATAGTAGGTTCTTTCGCAGCAAAAAATCGGTTTAGTGGAAAACCGGTATTTTTTACGCATCCCTACCGGCCGGCCGACAGCGGGTGGAAACTACATGGGAATTGACGCGGTATTAATTATGTAAAATATTTTTTATTACAGGAGACCAATATAATTTCAACACTCTACAGTTAGGAATGTACCGTATTAAGATATATGTGATCAACTGATTGATAAAAACATTGCAGTATTGTTTGAATCATCCAATTTTACCCAACTAAATTACACTATTAACGACTTTCTTAAATTATGAAACTTTATGCTTGACATGCATAATTCTTCAATGAGTTTTTAATAATTTATAATTCACAAACCTGTATTTACATTAAGGTATTAACGATAATGAAAAACTGTAAATATGGAAATGAATAAAATAAAACAGCGATAGACACGAGCGCGCCACATCCATGGTGTCGTCTGCGTCTGCGGCAAAATCGGCCAGAGCGCTATCGGCCGATGTTGTGTGTTTCAATCTACGCCAGAATTGTAACTTAACGCAGCCCTATACCGATCGGAAAGCGAAAGCCGTAGCTCGTAGATTACTGTTGGTAAATTTTCAACGCATCGGCCGGCCGGTGACAGTAAAATAATTTCTTTACGGGATGAATTTAAAAGATTAAACTGTGTCTTCATTGTTGGAAATTAATAGTAATTATTTTTATTTATTTGTGTTTATTAATTTTTTAATTTTTATAAATTATTGTACATTTTACCATATCAGTTTTTGAAAAATGCTAATAAAAAATTTGGATTTTCAAAAAAAAATGTTTTCTTATTTCTCGAATTATTTGGTACGGCCTGGCCGACCCTGCCGTCCCTGACGAGCCGTCACTGGTTACTGACATCATGAATTTAGAAAAAATTGAACATGTTTTCTAAAAATTTAACGGTTCCCATACATTCTTCAAAATGAGAGAATTCGGCACCACCGTAATGAGCCAGATACGCTAAAGATGCACTTACTGGTTTTGAAAAGATTTGAACAGCTAATTTTACTCTCATTTTTTCTAAATTTCCAGGAAAAAGATGTTTCCGTGTTAAATGGCGGACTGGTTTGACTATAATTTTGTTGCATTTCTGCCAATTCCTTAAGGTAATTTGCTGAAATGATTCCATCAGATGATGTCATATCATGGTCCAGAAATTGATTCCTTCCATTTTTTATTGCATGGCAAAAATCAGAATTAAAGAAAAGTTTTAATCCAGGACTAAAAGGATGAGCAATGCAGTTTTGAAGGGAACTATTTCCAAAATGTTTAAATAAAGCCACATGATTTTTGCGATTGTCTCCTACGATTCGTGTCACTTTAAATCCACATTCAGCAAGTAATTTTAAAATTTCTAACGTTAATTTATATTATAAATCTTTGCTTTTTAATTGTCTATGGAAATAATAACCTGCTGGAATAATATAGTTTGTTGATAATTATCAATGCATTGCCGAATTGTCATTTCTGACCAAACTGGTTTTTTTCTGTCGTAATTTTTTATTTGATCTAATATTAAAACTGCCCTTGGATTCATATTTGCGGCATCATTTTTTATTGGTTGCAAACATTTGCACTGTAATTTTTGTTAGTTTTTTTCTTTTTCGATTTCCAATAATTGTTTTAATTTATTACAACGAAGCTTTATTCGCTTCAAATTTTGTTCCAAACAGCGATTTGTGTACAATAAGTTTTTAATCTGTGCAGATGTATACATGGTTTGAGTTAAGTTTCACAAAACTGCTGAGAATAATTAATTCACTGATGAGTGTTCTAAACAACTAGAAAGTTCCTCATTTACAGTAGACTAAAATTGTTAAAACGTTAATAATTGAAAATATTACTAAAAACAATCTACTTTACAAATACAGAGGGAATGGCTCATTATATAAAATTATAAATGACTGGTAGTTACGCTAAGGTTTTGGGGATAGGGTGAGATTAAAGAATAACAGACGAATTTGTATATGTTGTAATTCTAGAAGCTCGATTTTTTTTTATTAATCCAATCAATGCATATCATTACTTGGTCTTAGTACCAGTAATCATAGAAATGTTGCCTCAATGCCAGTCATTTTTGGGTTAGCGATAGGTCTTAAAATAATTTTATTAAAAGGCAGTAAGAGAACTGTACTTTATAATTTGTATAATAATTAATATTAATTTACAAATATGTATTAGATAATAATAACATAAATGACATAAATGTTTTATAGGGTATTAAAAGAATACAATATTACAAAATAAAGATAAATTCACTTAAAGGAAATACATACAATTTAAATAAGAAGAATACAGGATTACTACAAAGATGAGTTCGTTTCAGCTAAAGGTTTGATACTTTTCTGAAAAATAGTATAAGAATAAAAAATATCGACTTTGCTTTGTACACTATGATAACAACCAAACATATTTAAAAGTGGCGAATGTACCTGAAAATTAACATTACTAAGTAAAACTGGGCTATCAATTACAGTGTATGTTAAAATATTGATTTTGTTTCAAAATCCTACACACGTTAGGTTAAAAATAAGAGGCTGAATGAAGCACAAAAAAGCATATTATCTTGCACAGAAATAATCCTGACGTACACATAGAATTTCACATGAAAGGGGCGAGTATTTAAGATGAAGATATTTGTCTAAAATACCTATTACAATACTCGAGAAATTAAAACGGCAATTTTTAATAATCTACAGTGCCATGAAGAAGAAACAAAGTAAAACGTGAACGCAATCAAATATGTTTTAGTTTTTCTCCATATAATAAAACTTAACATGTTGTTTACATTATTTTCTTTTAAATAAACCACATTTTGTAACTTTATTGCCCTTTAAAATGAATCAACTTAGTATATCTTTGCCTATCAGAATCTACTAAATAAGACTTACTTTTACAACTGTATTTTATACGCAAATTCAAATAAATATTAATTATTTCTTTCAACAAAAAAGATGTATGGAAGTGATTTCTATGAAGCAATTTCTCACAGTTTAAATTTTTAATGATGTCAATTACAATTTTGCGTTTACTAAGTTTGATATGTACTCGCTCATGTGTTCTGTAAGTTTTTTCACTATGTACGGAAATGGCAATCACATCGTCACTAGGATAGCTCAATCCCCCCTCCGATTTGAAATCAACAAAACTTCCAAATAAGTTCTCATTTATACCAAAAAGGCATGATATACATATTTCACATTTCAAAGATTTGGCTAATTTAAAAGCAACAAATCCAGCAATGTAAATGACAGCCTCCTCACAAAAATTTGTTAAAGATTCCTGCGTAAAGAAATAATTATGTTCAAAATTAACGGCACTTTCCTGAGTAACTTGTACGTCACTCGTTAATATCAATTGATCGGAATTAATAATATTTTCGAGTTTTTTAATTCGAGACGAACATGTCAAAAATTATTTATTTGCTCTAAGGGCACACAGTTTCCAAAATCACTGTGATTTATTTCTGCGTGTATTAATAATTTTTTATATGTAGATTTAAACTGACGAGTAGTAGGGTTATTATTGCAGCCCCCTAAATTTCTAATTTGGAAGAAAAAAATTTCCAAATGATCTTGACTGCATTTATAGATGGGCAGATACTGTAAAATTGACGTTGCTCCATCACCCACTACATATTGTTCATAAATATTTAATACTGCATGTAAACCAGCTACAAAACCTATAAATCCTGTTTTACGGGGCGAGTGAATAATTAAATTTTTGTTAAAAAATCTCAATTTGGATATATACGAAGTAAAGCAATTCACAAACGTTTTTACCTGATTAATATTATACTTACTTAGTGCTTGTTTGTAAGCAAATTCCTTTATTCTGCGCGAATTCAATATGTCAAAAGCGTCATTAATATTTAAAATGAAGGTAGCCGTTGCTCCACACTTCTTAAACTGATCTAGCTGTAAAATATCTCGACAAAACGTCAAAGCTTCAGAGACAGACCTGCTTAATAACTGTGTAGCTAGAGCAACTTTCATTTTTTGTTTAAAAAAATGTATATGTCTTCTACGTAGTTTGTTTGCAAGGTGCAGCCCTTCATTTTCTTGCAGCTCCTTTAGAAGTTCTAAGTATTTAAAATCAATAACATTATTCTCTCCATCAACTATTTTTCTTTTGTCACCAAATGTGTTACGTATTAATTTCATCATGTGTGAAGGATCAAGTAAAATAAGTATATTCTCTTCACCAAAGTTTGTTTTCAAATTAGAAGGGCTAAATGAGCAACCTAATGCAGATGCCATTGACAAATTTGTCGCACAACCATCAAATGTAATATTACTAATTTCAATTCTTACACTTTTTACTAAAAATAAACACTGTTTTAGTAAACCTAATTTTTGCTCACTATTTAAAGAATGGCTTAAAAAGTAACCCACGAGGATTTTCCAAGAGCCATTTATAGCAACCAACATGAAAACTAAAGCTTCTTTGGCCTCTTCATTTTCATTTACTTCAATTATACTACCCATATCAGCATATCCATAATACTGTCACGACCGGGTCAGGGGGGGAGAGATTGGTAGAGCTAAGGATAATTACCCGATCCGACGTTAAGAATAAAAATCCCAAATACATTAAATAAACTAAATATATTTCAACTTACATTACAAATTCCATCCTTAGGGGGTACGGTGCGTCACTTCACTTCTCTCACTTTTTTCCTTCTCCCTGTCCCTAGTTAGTACCGACTGCCCCTTTCGTCAGTCCGCACTGCCCCCCACCTAAGCTTCCGTAATGCCAGCAAAAAGAGGTTTTTGCTGACATCCCACAAGCATGGCATGAGGCAATCTTTACATAACTAGGGCAACTAGCAGTTCCGTGACACATCTCCCCCCTTAAGGAACACTGGACCTCCAGTGTTTTACAAACAGATATCTCTTAACTAATACAATGCATAAAACGTACATAGCCACAAATTATCCATTTTGCAAACACAACCCTATAAAATATACAATCATATTAGACTTCACTCCTACTTTACTTTACTACAATAACAAAGATACCCAACAATACAAAATTACATTCTTCTGGTCGACATACCCAGGAAGACCCTACCAACATTTTACACACTTGAATAAGACAAAAATTGATTTAAGGTATTTATCTTTTGAAGCAACTATTTTAAAATCTCTCGCGACAAGCGGCACTCTCTTACTAATTGCAGCAGTTGATGAGCGCTATTTTAACGTCCCTGCTTACTGGCCGAAGTCCCGTTCACCACCATTTCCTTTTTGGCAAAACTCAACCACTATGAGTCCAGTCTTGTTAACTGGAGTCTTCTTTAAGGAGAACTCGTCGTCGTAGAAGCTTGGTTCTCGAACGAGAGCGTCGTATGCGAGAGTGATGTCAGGGCCCTTTTTTTTTTTTTCCATGCTGGTTCTGTCTCGAGCAAGAACGCCTTATGTATGGTAGGTGTCTCCCGTTGCCAGACCCGGTTCCAGAACATAAAAAAAATTCATTCATTAGAATTACCTTATACTCCTACAAAATAGATAAAGCGAAGCCAGTACACAATATCTAAATAACTTTCTAAATCTATGTTCAATCTCCGATCTAAAATATAAAACAGTGGACAACTACTTATTATCTACATATAACCTATATATGGGTAATACATATATGCCTGCAGGCTTCAATCGACCTGCACAGATATTGCCTCAGCATTTGTCTAACGATCTTTTTAATCGAGAGTCCAAATATTAAGACAAGATCCACAAGGTGATAATATATATAATTTACGACGCGTCATCTACAGTTATCCTAACGGCTTCCCCCCCTTGTAGTGGAAGGGAGGTGGTAGGGTTACATGTTTGGTTGGGGGAGGCTATCGCTGGGTGGTTGGATTTCCAAAATATATATATTAATAAAACAGTTAAGATTAGATTCCAAACAACTAAAGTAGCGGATGTATGTACACCATAACTGTCCGCAAAAGAAAAAATTTGTGGTGATTCTGGAATATTTGCGACAAAATTTTGGAGAAGTTTATTCGGGGAGGTTAAATTTAAATGCGGAATAGTCAATGACCAATTTGGATTAATACATTCCGAAAAGTTGTTATATGATGGTAACGAGTGGGTATGAATGGGGTTAAGAATGAAAGATTTTAGATTCGACCACGCTGCTGGAATTATGTGATTTACGTGGATGCGAGGGATAGTATCTAAGCAGGGAAAACGTCTAGGTATTATTACATCATGCAGGTAAACAAGTGCACACTGGCAGTGAAGTTTTATTTTTAACGCGCCCAAGAAGCTTCCGAATTCAGTTAGGGTTTTATTACTGCTGGGACAACTTATATAAGCGCCTACCTTTAAATTTGTTATTATAAATAAATCCTCCTCGACTTCTGTGATGGTAAGCGATGTCGATGCGTGACATTTCATGGGGCAGTGATAACTTAATTCCTCCACTGTCGCACCTTCATATAATTTTCGTGCACACGTAGGCCCATGAAGTTTATCCTCTCCGAATCGAGGAAGAAAGCACAGTTTGTCGGAGTGCGGCCTGCACTGATGCAACCCCAAACCAGAAATTTGTCGGTACAAATTGTGCCTCCGGTGTCTAGTGTAGGGAGCTTCTGCCACCGCCAAAAACAAGGTGCTGTACTCTATTCTGCAACTCTGATTGTACCAACTGAAGGGTGCAGTTATGAGCTCAAACAAACTCCACCTAATGCCCTGTTGTACGATGGGCACTCGTACTACCAGTGTTATGTTATTACCTGAAATTACACAATCTGTTATTGGTAACTGATAATACCTGTGTATATCCGTGACAGCAATAGCTAAATCGTGACCTGCTTTGATTAATTCCTTTTGAAGTTCCATTAAGTTCGCTTGAAAAAGTTGGGGCCGCAACACCTTTTCTGGTATTTGGTGTTGTCGACATGACAGTTTTACGTCCCTTTGTTCCAACGCGCGCCACATTGTTACGATACGTCTAGTATTCTGAAATTGATTTTCTATTAAAGTACCGAAAAATCCTTCCCATTCATTCGTCTTGTTCCTAAAATTTGTGATGGATTTTTCCATTTCTTTAATCCTCCTCTCCGTGGATTTAAAAGCCTCCCCGACCTGATCTGTATATTTTTTAAATTCCACAGAATTTTGACTTAGCGTTTTGATATTTTCAGATAGGCCCCCCTCCAATTGTCGAAGTTTTTTCTGTAAAGCCCTTTCTTCCATGTGCAGCGAGTCTAGTTTGTGTTGTGTTGCAACGCCGCAACACCAAGCCAGTCCCTCTCCTAGAAAATCCAGGCTGCGTTTTTCTCTGTGCTGTTGATCTTCAAAAAGCTGCCATCCTTCTTCCGACTCTTGTGGTTCCAGCTCGCCGTCAACCGCTTCCATTAACTGGTGCATAGCGGTCGCCAGCTCGCAATTGTGATCGCCACTACATTGTTTTGATGTGCCCGTACTGTTTGTTTGTGGTTTGAACCACGCCATTGTATACTTTATTGGTATGGTTGCCTCGTAATTCAAAGTCTCCACAAGGGGCCTCCAGAATGCTCCTGCCGACACTTCTATTTGTCCTCCAACGCAAGAATTTTGACTGATTAGTAAGATAGCGAACAGCCTGTAGGAAAGCCATGTTAATACATTTATTTTGAATTCGTTTTACCTTAAACTTAAAAATTGTACTATTTGTATGTCTTTTTCCGACACGCAGGCTCACACGTTTGAAAAGTTCTCGTAAACCCCCGTTAACAAAGCATACATTTAAAATAAAAACTAACACCCAACGCTTTTATATAGTTCGACAAAATTATCTCATTATAATGGATGCAAAAGTAGATCAATGAAAACATTGTTTATTTGTCGCTACTCACCTGTGGACTCCATGGATCATTATATTTTAAAAGTCGACTTACATGTACAACTTCTTTTTTCGAGCCTTTTCTAATCTCGTAATCCACATCCCCCATTTTTCTTATCACCGTATATGGACCGAAATATTTTAATAATAATTTTTCACTCTTTCCCACTTTTCTAATAGGAGTAAATATTTTTATTTTTTCCCCAGGCATGAACTCAACGTGCCTATGTTTTTCGTCGAATCTTTCTTTATCAATATTTTGTTTTTTATAAATATTTTCGACAGCCCAGTTCCTAACGGCCAATGCCTTTTCTCTAATATCAAACACGTAGCTTGACAGCGGTTCCTGCAGAAGATTTGCCTGCGTAGGTAAGACTGCTTCTCTTGCATAGACAAGCATGAATGGAGAAAACTGAGTGGTATCTTGACGAGCTGTATTGTAGGCGAACGTTACGTGACTTAAATACTGGCACCAGTCTTTCTGGCTGGTGCTTGTGAAAACGGCGAGCATGTCGGCGAGTGTTTTGTTGAACCTCTCTGTCAGTCCGTTACACTGTGGATGGTAAGCTGTTGTAAAATTGTGATAAACACCCATCAATTTCAACAGTTCTTGTACCACTTGCGACCGAAAGTTGGTTCCCCTATCACTCAAAAGGTATCTTGGGCTTCCATGTCTCGTAAGTATCTGTTCCAAAATAAACTTGGCCACTGATTCTGCTTTAGCATTAGCCATCGCCCGAGTCTCAGCCCATCTTGTTGCATAATCTGTGGCTACAACTATGACTACATTTCCTCTCTTGCTCTTTGGGAATGGTCCCAAGATATCTATGGCTACTCTATCAAATGGCAACCCCACTTGAATAGGTTTTAGTAGTCCGGCTGGTTTCTTATGTTGTTCGCCCTTCCGCGCTTGACAGTCTGCACACCCTTTTACAAACTTTTCCACATCTGATTGCATAGCGTCCCAGTAAAATCGCCCTTTAATTCTATGGAACGTTTTTGCTATCCCTAAATGTCCTGCCAAGGGTTCGGAATGGTGTGCAAAAAGGATCTCGTGCTTCAGATGATGCGGGACTACTAGGAGGTTATCATTTCCACTTGGTATTGCATTTTTTTTGTATAAGACGCCGTTGATTAGTGTAAAATTGTTGGATTTTCTCCTCAAAGCTATTGTCGATTCGTTGTTTTCTGGATCCTCAATTATTTGTATTAGTTGTTGTAAACCCGGGTCTTTCTGTTGTTCAAAGCGAATATCTACGTTGTCCAGCAGGAAGGTAGGTACGTCGAAAAGGTCAGATTCTTCTTCAGGAGCGGGAAGTACTGGATTGCGTGAAAGGCAGTCGGCATCGGTGTGTGCTTTACCATTTTTATATATTACCTGATAATCAAATTCTTGTAATTTGATCGCCCAGCGAGTTAACCTGCTTGTCGACTGATCTGCGTTTTTCAAATAACAAAGAGCGTGATGATCCGACTTTACTGTGACGGGGCGACCATGAACAAAGTGGCGAAAATGCACTAAACCGTATAGGACTGCTAAAGCTTCTAATTCTGTGATTGAGTAATTTTTCTCGGCTTTTGTTAATGACCTGCTGGCATATGCCATAGGGTGCATCTGCCCCTCGTATTCCTGAAGTAGAATCACCCCTAGACCATCTTTACACGCGTCTGCTCGAAGTTCGCAACCGATATGGGGATTGAAATGCACTAAGACGGGAGACTCGCAGAGTTTATTTTTTAGAACATTAAAAGCATCCTCTTGTTCCGTATCCCATTTGAATTTGAAATTTTTTAATAGTAGTTTATGCAGGGGATGAGCGAGTTTAGAAAAATTTGCGATAAACTTTCTATAATAATTGGCTAAACCTAAGAAACTTTGCAATTACCTAACAGTTTTTGGTCTGGGAAAATCTCTAATTGCGCCGAGCTTTTCAGGATCCGGTCGTATGCTATTGTTGTTAACAATGTGCCCCAATACTTTCACCTGCGTAGCTGCAAACGTACACTTTTGAGTTTTTAATGTAAGATTAGCGTCTCTTAATCTTTGAAAAACTTCTTTCAACTTGTCCAAATGTTCCTCAAAAGTTTCTGAAAAAACAATCACGTCATCGAGATACACTAGAACGGACGACCATTTCAGTCCCCGAAAAACTCTATCCGTTAGATCCTGGAAAGTCGACGGGGCGTTACACAGACCGAAAGGTAATTTGTTAAATTCGAAAAGTCCGAAACCTGGTGTTACAAACGCTGTGTACTCTTTAGAGTTTTCTTCTATTCCAACTTGCCAAAAACCGCTAAAAAGATCCAACGTACTGAAAAAGTTAGATTTTCCGAAATACGTAAGAATTTCATCTATATTACTTAATGGGTAATTGGATTTTTTTGTCACCTTATTCAACTTTCTGTAATCCACGCAAAATCGCACTTTTTCTTTTTCGCCTTTCTTTTTTACCAAAACAATTGGGGAGGAGTACGGAGATTGGGAAGGTCTAATTACACCTTGTTCTAGCATTTCCGTGATCTGCTCTTCAATTATTTGGCGTTCTTTTGGGGATACTTTATATGGTTTGCTTTTAATGGGAGTACTGTCTGTTAATTGTATTTTATGTTCAACTAGCTGCGTAGAGCCTATTTCGGTTAGGTCGTCCGCAAATATATCACTGTATGAGTTAATTAAATGTTTAATTGCTTCATTTTGTTGAGAGGACAATTTAGAGTCAATTCTAACTTCGCGATTTTTCGTTTGGCCCGTTTGTAGTTGATTTATTAAAAATAAGGGTTTGTCTATCACAAGTTCTTCTAGGTACGCAACAGCAGTACCCTTAAATAATTTTAATGCATTATGACCTCGAGATTCTAATGTTCCTGACGTAAAGTCGTCTGCAACGTTTAAAATGAGTCCTTTTTTGACCAAAAATTTGTTATTGTTTGATAAGTGAGGTAATGTGATGTCCCTGACGTCTCCATTTAAGGTAAGCTTTACCGTAATTTTCGTATGTGGGTCCATTTTATAATCTTTTGATAGACATAGTTTTAATATGTGTGTGTTTCGGTCGCCGGTTTGCTGCAATTGATCACTCGTTTGGGCAGAAACTGAATCACATAAGGGGGGAGATGTCTGGTGTACAGTTACAGTGTTGTAATCTTGTGAATTTATTTCTGAAGTGGAAATTGAATTTTCAAAAATATAAATATTAATAGGTGTGTCTTTGAAAATGTAATAAATCATACGGATAATTTCGGCAACTTTAATTTGGGTATTATTCACAGCTGGTTTTTGTAAATACATGTGTGTAATATTCTTCCTCGTTACTATTTGTTTTAGTTCTTTTAGAACGTGCCATATCATTTGATAGTTACTTGCCACATTAAGAGTAAAATTTAATTTATTATCAGTGGAATATATTTTGCGTATGTTTAATTTATTTTGTTCATTGAACAACCATGTGACACAAGGGTAACTGTTTCTTTGGACTTTCATGGTGGAGATGTTGCAACTAGTGATGGTGTCAAAAATGTCAAAATTCGCTTTTGCGAAGGTTTCGTATGTGTCTTGTTCTTGAAGGTCTAGGTCTTGCCGTGTCAGTAATTTGTGGTCGCGAAGTGAATCATGTATAGTGTTGACTTGTGTCATAGTTTCTTTCTGTCGAATTTGTGTCATTTCCGTGTTATTATTCCGTTTTATGATTGCACGTAATGTTTGCGATATGTCATCAACGCATTGTTTATAATAAGTCATTTTAGGAATGTCGACTAAGGTGTTGTTGTACCCCTTAACTGACCTACGTTGCGTATAGCTTGTATGTTGTGAAACATGAAACGATTTATTCAGTTCGAAAACTTTACCTGTCAGCATAATCGTGTTATCTTGTAAATTAATGATAGATTTTTCGTTGCATAAAAATTCCATGCCTAAGATAATTGGATAGGGTAAATTCTCCACGACGTATGCTGAAATGTTTTTTGTATGATTCATTACCCTTAAAGTCAGGGAGGTTGTACCTAAGATAGGAACTTTCGCGTTGCCCGCCGCTAATAAAAAAGACATTTGCTGCTGCTTGCGAATTTCGTTTTTCGGTATTATTTTGCTGACAACAACATTTGTTGCGGCGCCTGTATCTACAATTGCGGTAAGATGTTGTTTGTTAACTTGTACATTTAGGGTTAGCAGACGCGGGGGTTTGTTGAGGGTTGAAGTGCCGCTGCTTCTCCCTTTTTGCGTAAGGACGACTGGGAGGTTTAGTTTCGTCGTCCCTTGGCGTTTGGGTGGTGATCCTGTTTGTAATTGTTGCCACTTGTGTTGTGCCAACATGCGCCTGCAAAATATCCAATTCTTCCGCAATGGTAGCACCTTGGTCGTCCGTTAGAGCTGCGGGTGTTTGGTACATTTTTCTTGAAATTGCCTCCATTTAAGTGTGGTGGCCTACTATCAAATTTCCTAGAGTTTGTGGTAAATTTCGTATACTTATTCGCTTCTTCAACTTCCTGTCGGTCATGAAAGTACCCTTGGCTTTCTTTTGTTCGCTGTTCTATAGCGTCAAGTTTCGCAATAATTGATTTAAGTTCTGGTACGGTAACGTCATCTGGTTTTAGAATCTTGTAGTTGCTAAAATATTTATCGTGCATGCCTCTCTCGAATTGTTTGATAAATTTTTCGTCCTCCATTAATGGGTCCAGTTCATACGCTAGGAAGGATAAATCAAAAAAGTATTCTCTTACTGACTCTTCTCGGGTCTGTCTGCGGTTTTCAAATTTTCTTTCCTTGTCTTCCGAATAGTCCGACATTCTGTATTCTTTTAGGAATTCTTTCTTCACATCTGTCCAGGTTTTTGTAGCATTATTCGTAACAAAATTTTCGTACCATCTGTTCGCTATTCCTGGCAAAAATGAGCCGAAATATGAAATCTTCAAGTTGTCATTCCACGCGTTGGCCACTGCTGCCCGCTCATAATTCTGGATAAACCGCTGTGGGTCGTCACGTTTTGGATCAAAAATTTCTGGACTAATGAAGCTCGGGATCGATGGATGTTTTTGGCTTGTGAATGCCTCGGTGATTGTAACGTTGGCCATTTTTTCGTTAGATGGGTCGTTTGTTTCTCTGATGTTTTGCTCAGTGAAGTGAGGCGATTTGTTGGGGATTGTTCCCGGTATTTTATCGAACGTTTGGTCTACTGTTTCAGAATTTTGTGAAGTTGGTGCGGACAATGTTAACTGCTTTAGGTTGGTTTCTGGTAATTCGATGGGGATTGGACTAAGCACAAGTGGTTCCGGATCTGTTTCTGAAGTGTCACAACCGCATCCCCCTAATTTAACGACTCCGTGAATATCAGAATTTCTGCTTTTTGGTTGAAACGAACCGCACTCTTTTTCTATACGGATTTTGTATTGCTGACGGGTTTTTGGATCCGCGGGGTTTTTATTATTCATAAAATAAGATTTTGTTTTTTCTTAACATTTAAAAAACACTATATGCGCGAAATTTTGGGCGCCTCCACCATATGTCACGACCGGGTCAGGGGGGGAGAGATTGGTAGAGCTAAGGATAATTACCCGATCCGACGTTAAGAATAAAAATCCCAAATACATTAAATAAACTAAATATATTTCAACTTACATTACAAATTCCATCCTTAGGGGGTACGGTGCGTCACTTCACTTCTCTCACTTTTTTCCTTCTCCCTGTCCCTAGTTAGTACCGACTGCCCCTTTCGTCAGTCCGCACTGCCCCCCACCTAAGCTTCCGTAATGCCAGCAAAAAGAGGTTTTTGCTGACATCCCACAAGCATGGCATGAGGCAATCTTTACATAACTAGGGCAACTAGCAGTTCCGTGACAATACTGTTGCCCATCATATTCAATGCAGCGTTTAATAGCAACTTTATCGAACACTAAAGAACACACAATTTTACGTTCTTCAGCCTTTACTTTTAACACATCGAATGCCTCACTTGTGAAACCTGGTGCACCATTCACTGAAGAATACCATACAGATAAAGTTTTTGGGTGTGGAAGACAGTCCATGAATTGTTTTCTTATAAAAGAAAAAGCCTTTGGGGTGTAGAAATGTGTTGTAACGGCAAATTTTCTTATTTCTGGTCCATATTGATTTGGCAATGGTTTGTTGTTAATTTTCTGCTCAACAGTTCTGTATTTTCCTGAAATTTATTAACATCCACACTGTTGTTTTCATAATAGTTGATTTTCTTCCTTAAACTTGAAACAACATCTTTCAGATTACAAATTTTGCCTTGCTGTTTTGAGGTTATACGTTTTAACGTTTTAATAGTGCATTGTTGTTGTGACATTAATGTCTTCAGGTTGTTAATTTGTTGTTTCAGTAAAACGTTTGCACATGTTTTTGTTGTTAAATTTTCAAGTTTCTTTGTAATTTCAAAAACTTTATTAGACAATTCATCTTCTATATTCTGTTGAGGCTCTACCGAAGGTGCGTCGCAAACTTCTGTGTGATGCGTTTCATTGCCTCTAAAGGTCACTACATTGGTAATCTAAAATAAATATATATATTAATTGTTATATCATGCAGCATGTAAGTGTATTTAATACCCTTTCTTCATAAGTATAAGAAATAGTTGGTACTGAATGTGGCCTTAAAACAACTTTCTGGGCTGATGTTCTATCAAAACACTTCTCTTCAAAATGAAATGAACACAGGAAAAAGTTGTTGACAGACACATAATTCAGTAGGTGAAGATAAAGGAAGTCTGTCCACAGTTTCTTTAATTCAGGTTTCTGGGGACACCTAAAAGCAATTCATAAATATTCATTAATCCCTCTTAAGCAAATATTAAACGAAAAAATACGACACACCTGTGAAACGTTATTTTTTCTCTACCAACTGTTGACCTGGGGCCACTCGTAACTTTACACAATTTGCAACTAACCATTTTAAGTTTTTAAATAAACATGAAACGCTTATCGCAAATTCAAAACAAAACGTTCACACTAAACACGAAGTTAAAAGCGAAAATGACAAAAACAGAATCGTACGACAGTGGTCAGTGCTGGCTGATGAAATTATTAAAGTAAGCATGCGCGGTGAAGGGCGCGCTAATTGAAAAGAGTAATAAAAAGTGTTTGCACTGGTGCCAAGAATTTATATTGCCGAGATACGGCGCACTCCCTCCTTTATATTCCTTCCTCCATGGTCATAACGTATGGTTACAATTATTGTCTAGGGGAGAGTAGGACTGCGTAGACTTTGCTCCATGCAAACATTTCCGAAACGCTTGCTACGATCGATTTTTTATTGCATAATGAAACGAATTTTTTATGTTTTATCTAATTTAAAAAATCGCTATGCGCTTGTTTGATATTCACTCACAAAATACTTTGCTGACGATTGGCAACAAAATTCCAGGGCTCACGGTCGTAGGATGGCGAACTAAACGTTAAGCGGGACATTTTAAAATTTAACAAGTGTGGGAAAATTAAAAATTGAACGATGTAGTTGAACATTTTACCTTTATTCGAATAACTTCAAACTAAAAAATTGGCCCAAATGTATTGACCGGTATTTCTGATCAATAGATTCAGACACAATATTTTTAGTTCAACGCATTCAACTTATTACCCAAGTAACACACGATGGTGTATTAAACGTTTTTTTTAATTCCCAACTTTCCGTATAAATACGATTTATTCGTAACGTTTATTTCTTGGAAGAATGTCCGCCCTATATACGTTTATTTCTTGAGTAGAAAAACAGTATATTATACGTACACGTTAAACGTCTTTATGAAACCTGTATTTGACGTAGATGAGATATCATTTGAAAACGTTTCTATCCAACGCATATATTGCTGAAATAATTACCGGATGAATTAATGTTTCTTGTAAACGTTGAATAAATGTTTGATTATTTAACAAATATGTACGTTGACGTAACGTATATATTAATAATATACAATAAACAATTATTAACTAAAATTGAGTGGTCATTAATATTAATCACACTTAATTTTGTTTTAATTGTCCTGTAAATTCTTAAAACATGAACATGGAGAAAGTCATTGGAAAAAAACGCATGATTCAAAAATGATAAGTAGCATATAATAAACGAAAAAAAAATAAAATAATACATAAAATATATTAATAGATTATTAGAAAAGTAAATAATTATTATTAACAATATACTCAATTGCCACGAAGTTTTTTAGCTTTGTGATCAAGTCGGTGTTTAGCTAATTTAAGCCAATCCTTCATTGCATCTTGAATATTTCGGTCAGTTAAATCGGTCCGGTCGGCATGTTTGGAATAAGCAGTCATAACTGCCTCTAGAATTTAAGGGAATAATAAATAAAGTTTGAATTTGTTTCAACAAAATTTACCTTGGATCACCTTGGACATAAGGGTGTCTTTGAAGGCTTTTTTCTTATTATCCCGTGCAATCCAGTTAAATTTCACCGCAACCTTATCCGTGAGAATAAATTTCATCATGTTCATTACACAGTTGCGGACACTCGTTCCTCCAATGCACGCTAGGCGACATTTCTAAAATAACGAATATAGTCAATAGTAATGGCAACATATTAGTAAATTAAAATTACCATATAATTAAATTTTTCTTCAATCTTTAGAAACTCTTCTAAGGCCTTGTATTCAGCCTTACAACTGACTGGGATATTAGGTAGGTCTACTGGACGATTAAGTTGTGTCATGTTTGATGACTGGATGCTGCTTAATATATTATTAAGTAAAAGAGTGTTTTGCTCTTGTATAGTGTCTAAACGTTCTACTTTGCGGAGAATCTTTTCCAGAAGATACTTAACAATTGAACTGGTGGGAAGTCCTGCGCTGCTAGAAGATGCCACGACTGAAACGCCAGAGGAACCATCTTCGTTAAGTTTTTCACTGTTACCTAAAGTAACAGTGGAGGCACGACTTGTGCTATTTGAGATTTTGGAGCAAGAACTCTGCTCATCGTCACTAAATTCACTCGCAGACGATTCGTCGCAACTGAAACTAAATAATAACGAATGGCTTAAGTGAGATATTGAGAATAAGTTCCTCAAAACAAACCTTGACATGTCATTTTTCATTCTTAGAGGCATTCTTCGTTTCGTCTTTTTCTTTCACATCATTAGTTATCACATTCACTTCTAAAACGTGTAGCGGCTGCTGTGCATTACCTGAGTCGGAGGAGCTAGAACTCTCCTCGATCATCTTTTGAAGTAAAGCATTCGCATCATCGTAATCAGCTAGACAAGATTAAAGTTGAATAAATAATTTAGTAATAACCAAATTAGTGAAATATACCTTTTATATCAGTAACGTTGATCACTTTATACTTGGGCCATGAACGTAGTGGTTCTTTGCATGTTGAAATCATTTTGTCAAACTGTTGTGGGGTGGCAGCTCTTGGCCAATAACACATTTGCTGATCTTCTAGGAGCCAATTTAAAGGCACCACCGCACATTTTCTATCCTCAAATTCAACCACTGCATACATGATATGAACACGTACCTTTTTCTAATAAGAAGGAATGATTAAAGGGACTATACCTATGTAAATGAAAAATATAGGAAAGAAGAGGCAACTGTATCAAAGTTTTAACGATTTTATCGAAATTTAAAATGTACACTTAGGTGAAAATTATTGCATCTCGTTTAGGTAACAATATCTATCTGTAATAACTACAAAAAAAAATTATAGTTTTTTTTGATGATTAATTGGACCAACATAAAATCCATTTTTGAAAGGAATTGAAATATATTTACATGATATCTCTTCTAGTTTGAAAAAATCTTGGCTTAAATTTCTTCCTCTCGCAAAATATATTCCTAATTTAGACGACTTAATAGGTCTATTATAAAAATCTTCCAAATATCTAAAACCAGTACAAATTATTTTGTAGATTCCATTTATATGAACAATGTATTCGATAATGTAAATTTTTTTATTTATGGCAACAACATTGTCTGGTGGAGAAGTTGAAATAAGTATATTATTAAATTTTAGTTTATTGCATGTAAAATATGAGGTATTAATGTTTCTAACAAACATAGGACAACAGTTATTATTTTCTGATTCGGCATTAGTCGTGATGGTTTCTAGTTCTGACAGACGATTATATATTTGCCCCAAGGGCAGCGTTTTCCCCCTAATTTTGCTCTTAAGTTTACCTAAATAATTTTCAAAAGTAAAACAGGAAAAGTTTTCCAAAGGCCCATAATTGGCAACATCCTCGTGAAGATGACTTAAGGAATGGACATTGTATGTTACAAAAAACTTGTCATACAGTTGAGGACACAACTTAATAAATTTATCAATCGCCTCTTTTGCAACTAAAAAATATTTTCGCAATAATTCCTCATTACTTAGTATAAATACAGAACAATGTAAAAGAAGGAAATGTTGATAATACTCTTTTTCTAAGATATTTTTTAAAACGAGAGGTCCGCAGTAAAGAAGAAAAAATCGATACTCTACAGCTTTCCATCTCTTTATGTCACTTAATGTGCGGATCTTTCTATGAAAATCAATAGGAGTGTGTTTTTTAACAAGTAATAATTGATTATTAATTTTAGAGACTGCTAATTTACTAAGTTTATAGGGACGCTTTCCTTCAAGCAAATATATAAGTAATAACCTTTTGATCACTCCTTGATAAATAAGATGCATTGGATCTAGCACGAATTGTGACACCAAACCAATTCTAAGTGTTAAAAGAGGTGATTTTCCTTTAAAATATGACTCCGTATCTGATGTTTCAAGATTCACATTCAGAAAATCATTATCAGTCCTAGCTTCATATGTATAATTAACAGGATAAAAGTTTCTGAAATTTTCACGATCAGCTTTTATTAAACATCTCTCACATCCATTTCTGCTTGTATGACCAACAACGCATTTTAAATATGACCGTGCAGGTGCATCGCATGAAAAAAATTTGAATTCAATTTTCAATTTTTTATCTAAATACGTTAAACCCTCTGAAAGAAGAGTCAAACACTCTTCAACAAAAGAACTTAGAAAAGTTTCTATTGGAGAAGGTTTTCCTCTACCACAAAATATTGCGGCTGCAAATGGAGAAGTATTTTTAAAACAGTCACTTTGAACTAAAATGGGCCAAAATTCGATAGAACTACTTTTAAATAGTGGTGTGCCATCTACATTGACTTTTAAAAAAATTATTTCGTTTTCATAGTTGAGACCACCGTCAATCTTTTTTCTTAAACCCCTTTCGACTCCTAAATATATCATTTCACCATTATTCAACGGAAATTTTTCGACTTTCCTAGGGGTTTTTAAAATAGTTCGAGCATCTTTTCTCAAAAATGGAAAAGCCGGTTGAATTATTTGTATTAAACCGTTGAATGCCTTGTGCGTAATATTATTATCTAAAGCCCATTTTTTTATTTTATTCACAAAATCCTCACTGTTATTATTGCTACTACTTTCGACCATTTCTGACAAAGACTCGATTGAGGTTATGGTTTCATTGGATACAAAATCTTCCGTAGTAATTAAATCACGCAACATGGGAAGATCTGTTCTTGAAAACGAATCATTATTGTTACAGCTACCACCATTGCTGTTAATATTAGTATTATTGGAAGCAGAGGCATCATAGGCAGCAGTATTTTCTGTATTACCCAACTGAACTGTGTAAATTTCACCTAAGTGTGAACTGTCCCTAAACTTAACTTCTTGAGTTCTTTCCGCACAACTCTCTATATAAACACTATTCATTAAAGTTAATTTAACATTATTCGCTACTCTCCTACGTAGATGTCTTTTTGATATAAGTTTAACATCTGACATGATCATCTCTAATTTCCTACACGTTCGTTACCGGTAACAATTGGATAGAATAATATAGGAGCAGGATACAAGCAGTTATTAAGTAGCCGTTATAACCTAAAAAATAATGCTAGTTATCATTCAACGACAAGTATTTGATATCATTAGTATTACTAATCTATTATATACTTGAATAATGTCATATTACAATGACAAAATTAAAACTGTAGCAATTTAACCTTGATCGAGATTTCCCGAACCGTGGAATAATAAACTGCAGTTTTTCATTAATTCTATACCTATCCTTTTGTAAAATACTAAAGCACATAATTATTTACTTACCAGTTTTCAATATTCACAGTCTGTAATTCTGTATAATTACAAACTTCTTGCCCTATATAACATTCAACAAGTCACAACGTGCACGTGCATAAATGGTAGCCGTTAGCAATTAGCATTTCCACGCGGTTTTTTAATTGCGTGCGCAACGATTTTCACAACCAGATCGATCTACGGGTCAATCACAAAGAGGAATTGTCCGAACTGTTCCGAATTGTGTGGACATTGTACGATGTCGCTGAGGATGTGTGTTAATCAGAATATTCAAAATGTCTAGCAAAAATATCCGCCAAGTATAATCAATTGGGAATAACAGAGTATAACAGAACTGTTGTAATATTTGGTACATCAAATTGCATTGGGAGACGCAAATTTAAAAAAATGTAATAGTAAATTTTACGGATCACAGGAAACGTTTCGCATCAACGTGTAAGTGCTAATGAATTAAACGTTGCAGGTAATCGTCAATGAACAACGTTTAATAAATGACTCATGTATATGTTTAATATGATAAGTAAATTACTAGAATGTATATTTAACGATTCATGAAAACGTTTCAAACACTGTAGATTTAACGTTTATTATCATTAGTAATGAAACTTAAAATATCCCAAAAAGGTTTAAAGAATACATTTAATACAATAATTATTACACGTTTCGTACTATAAACGTTTCATATAAACGTTTCTGTCATATACTTTACCAAGAATATACCATTGTTCAGTATATTAAACGTTTATTACACCAGCGTGTGTTACTTGGGTAGTAAATGAAATAAAACATACTGATGCTGTAACATAAGTATATAGTTATCAGATAAAATATGTATTGCACAAAGTAAACAAAAATTCTATAAATAAAAAATTGACAACAAAAAATAAAACGTTTTAAAAATATTCAATATATCAACTAAATGACAAATGGTTTAACAGAAACAAAAACGGATAATTTAAAAAATGGTGGCACGCTCTATACCTATATACCTAAACCTATACAAAAAGTAAATAAAAATTAATCAAATTTTTTATCTCTTCATTCTTGCATGGCTAGCCAATAAAATTTTTACAGCCCTGCTCGTGCTCATACAACCATGCATTTTAAACTATTATAAGTTGAAATGACATCCAAAGTTGGTTCAGGCAACTTTTCACTCACAATTGCTGCTTCCTCAGTAATATATAATTTCAATACATCGAAAACGATAAATCGAAAAATGTAAATGACAGAACTAGACAACACAATAAGTGCTATGATAAGTGCCATGCTGACGTCCGTTTCCAAGGCAATACGTCTAAAGCTCATACGATGTTTCTTCAAATATTGGACCTCCTGGAGTTTTTAATAGTTTATAATAGTTATTTACAAGTAAGAAACAATCCTTCATATCCTTCTGTCCGCCAGTAAAAACCCTTTTACCATGCTAGTAATGTTAATAATTTTAAATACTTACAATACAATTGAATTAATGTTGCCTGACCTAGCAGTTTTGGGGTCAAAATTATTGAGAAATTTTATTAAAGGTTCATTTTTACTTCCTGAGCGTAAGCAAAGAAAGTATTTAATCGAGTTTATCGGGCGGTGACTTTTATGTTTTCTCGACATTTCATGACCCATAGTGTTTTATTTGTTAATTGAAAGAGGATTATTACTGAAATAACTTTAATACAACTTAAATGAGTGTCATTCCTTTTTTACTACGTCTACGACTACTTAACACTTGTTGGTCATTGCCAACTTAAATATTTAGAAATAAATGGCAGGGGTGCCAATAGCAATTCTAACACCTCCTTCACTAAGATTACAAAACAAACTAAAACTATTTGGAGGTGGAAGGAACACCATAAATTTCAATAGTCTTTATACTTGGACGGCATATTTATATTTCTTTGAGGTCTATTTACAGTATTTGACCTTGAATTTCAACCTCTTCATACCAGGTGTTTTCTTCAGCAGTGATTCCATCGATATTGAGATGCAGAATTTGCAAGCTGTTCATATTCACTTCTTCATTTTCTACTTCATGGACGCTGCTATCTTTTTCGTTGATTAATTGTTCTTGTAGACGCGTATCTTGCAAGTTGAATATAATTTGGTCTCGAATGACGGAGTGTTGTTGATTGCCATATTCCCATCTCATCGCTACATTTTGTTGTTGACAGTATTTGTTATTGTCGAAATTACCTCTTTCAGTATATAATATGTAATAAGTTCAGTCGCTTTTGTACTTGAACATACGATTTCTTTAGCAATTTTTGAATCAGGTAACGTCGCTTTCAGGAATTTTGGAAAATGTTCCATCAACAGAAAAGGCAAATTGTGTTCATATAAAAACTTATATATTATATTCTGCTTTTCGTGCTTCTTGTTGACTACTCATTTGTGTGTTTATTCCAAACTTATCAAGGGGTGTTTTTACAGCTTTATTCATGTTTTTTTCTATAAATTACGGTTTGATCATGCCTTCTCATGATTGTTATTTTTGAAGTAACACATTTTGAGTATACTTTACAATAAGATTACCTCATAACTTTATTATACGTCAAACAGCTGCATTCTTACTCTCACTGTATCTTATGATTTTGTTTATAATTAATTATTAAAGCGCAGGTTCGCCACCAGTTTCTTTAAATTTAAATACTTTTCTTTTAAATTTTGAACTGTTCGAAATTTATTGCTCTCAGAATTAAACTAATGTTCAGTTTTCGCCCAACATTCTTCCTTTTGCTTCCACATTGACGCCCCACTCGTCTTACACTGAATCACTGCTTTATATTTTTCAACCAAATGGATCAAACGCAGTTGCCCTTCATCGGGAAAAATGCTATTTCTCTTTTTTTCCGTTCTTTTAGAGTTACAATAATTATTGCAGTCAACGAAACTGATGTGCAGCGGAATTTTTTGTCACTGAAAATGACACTATGATTGTAAGTAGCATAAATGATTCAAAATAATAGATCAAATACTGCATCTTTCGTGGCTGTCCGTTTTGCTCCTGTAAGAGCTCCTTTAACGGCTGGTACTGCTACCGTCGATCTTCCCGATTTAACGCCTGTTCAGTAAAAGTGGTTATAATTTCCGATGATCGAGATTTTGGTCGCACTGTTGTTTTGGTTTTTGCAAATCTATTGATAATTCGATCATTAAGATTATTATTATCATCTTTTTGACTATCATCTTCAGTGTCGTTTGTTTGACTCGATGGTCTTGCAATGAGAACATCTGGTTCTTCTCGATTCTTACGAGTTCGCCTGCTTCTGTGAATGCATTGCCGTTTCTCTGGATTGCTTTTAATACTTTTTAAATCCTCTTTTAATCCTCGTAGCCACTTTGTTATGTTTTCACTTTTATTTGGCTTTTTCGACATGAATCAACGGCAGTTAGTTGCGAACTGTTTTATTATTAAAAACGTATTGCGCATGTACAAAACCCAAATAAATAATAAATAGACCACAGATTCATACTAATTGAACTGCCACTGAATTTTTTTATAAAAATATCCGAGATTAATACAAAATGGTGTCAATTGTCATTAGTACCTATTTAAAGCTGACATGTAACTTGTGTATTTGGCAGGTTTTTTCAGAAGATTTTCCTTTGGTTAGCTTTGTAACTCGCTCAAACTGTTTGTCCCGCACAAATTTTAATAACATATGCACCGTTTTATCTAATCTCTTGCAGCCTTTCGGCTAATTTTATCGTATGATGATGATGTTTCACAGGTCTCAGGAGAAAACATTTTTCACTATTTTTCCAGTCTATTGAATTGTTCGAAAAAATTCCATAGCAACAGCAGAAATCATGGATTGTTTTTGTACTTTTCTGTTTCTTATTTTATTTTCCACAACATTCATTTGGTTAAATAGACGCTCCACTTCCGTATTTGAAAATGGTAAGGTTTAAATATTTAACTCAAAGTCATAAAATCCTTTAGAAGGATTGATATCTGTGCTGTCTTTACATTTTACAACATTATACCAAAAATAATTGGTATTTGTAATTGTACTCAATGTAATGAGATTTATATTATAGTACTGATTCTCTCTTTTAGCTACTTCATCATCTTTGGAATTGAAAAATTGAAGCACTAGTTTTATATCAGGTTTATTATGTTTTAATATACTATGTACTGAGAATAAAGACATTTGTCGTAGAATTTCTACATTTGAAAGCACTCTACTTATGAGTTTACTTATTAAAATGATTAAAAATTGAATACATCTATCGCACAAATTTCTCTCGTCTTTGAAACCTCTTTCACCCATTTTTTTCATTTGTATTTCAATAAGATATCCATAAGGTAATCTTCTATTTTATTCACAAATAATATGAATTTGGAGTGGTACATTTTTTTATCAAACCGTTAAGGAGATTCATTAGATCATCAAATAATATTGTCGAATCTGCTATCAATTTACTCGATCTACTCCTTCCAAGATGTCGTCCCTGTACATTTGATACAGTAAATGAGCTGTATAACATTTTTCATTTTTGCGCATGTGTTGGTGTGTCCACCACGAGACCTAATTGCAGAGAAAAATAGTTCCAGATGGTCTAGGCTCATCTTATAAATCAATACGTATCTAGAAATCACAGTCATGGCATACGAGTATAATAGTTATACTATACCATTTTCAGAAACCTTAAAGGTCCATCAGCATGAACGTATTTTTCAAACATTCCTATAAAACTTTCAATTAAAATCATCAAACCTAAAATGTTCCGTCGAGATGACAAAACGCTTTGTCCATTTTGTAATTTTAATTTTGATATGTATAAAAAAGCATCGTTTAGGAAAGGTTTCCACACATGTTCGTTATTTATTCTGAGAGGTGCTTTGAAGTATTTTCCTAAAGCATTCCGCGAATTGAATATATCAAACAGCCTATACCTAGAAAATAAAAGAAATTACATATTATTAAATTCGGTCTTTATTTATTGATTACACTTCCCGGTCAAATGTTTCTAAAAATTTACATGTCGCTTCTGAATTAGCGAACGTAGGGAGTTTAAAATTTTTTCGGCAATGAGTGATACTTGCAGCAACAGTCTCTGATATAGTTTGAACTGCAATGCTGACATTCATTG